TGGCACCCCCCGTCAGCTCACGCCAGGCCCCTCGGCAGCCGGGTCGGTGCCTGCTCAGCGCTTCGCCTGCTTCTCCTTTCGCGACCGCCTTCTCCCTGCCCTGCGCCCTGCTCCTCTAACGGACGCTGCTCCAGCTACGCCTGCAGACGAGGCAGGGCTGACGAGCTAGAACGGAGTAACTATTCCAAGAGAACAGGGGAGGAAAGCTTTATAAAAGAATTAAGCTTTTTTTTTTTTCCTCCTCCAAACAGGGCACAGCATTTTGGCCTTTCCCTTCTCTGGGCATCCTTCCTCCCCCTCCTTCCCTCTGACCTGAACCTCCTCGTTACCGACGTGAGCTGCTCTGAGTCTCGTTAACCTGTGCCCCTCGTTACGCCGCTCCTCTTCCCGCAGCACAGCCAGAGAAAAGGCAGTTCCACCCAGAGCGGCACGGCCAGCGTCCCTCCAGGCAAGTCCCCCTTTCACTTCTGCTCCGCCTCGTCGGCCACTGCGGTCACCTCGATGGCGGCGTGCTCGTCCCCGGCGGCCTCACCGGCACCGGACGGGACGGTCACGACCGTGCTCCCGCCAGGAGCCATTTGTGTCACGTTCTGGATGGTCGTGCCCAGTCCCGGCAGCGTCAGCAGCTGGAAGGGGCTCACCACCTTCACGACCGTGCTGCCGTCCTGGACCGCGGCCGTGCTCAGCACCGTCAGGTTGGAAGCGTCCGGGTGGATCTCCACCGTGCCGGGGAAGGTGGAGCCGGCGGAGGCCAGTACCGTGTGCTGCGCCGGCTGGGACAGCACTTGGGAGGTGATGGCAGCTGGTCCGGAGGTGGCCCTGGTCAGCCTGGGACGTTTCAAAGGTGTGGGGACGGAGACGGGCGTGAGGGTCATCAGGACGTTGTTGAGATGCTGCGATTTGTGCTTCAGCTCCTTCGCTCGCTTGCGGTGCTCGTCACACTGCTGCTCCAGAGCTGGAGAGGGAAGAGGGCTGGCTCAGCCCGGACCCGGGACGAGCTTCCCAGGGACCACGGCAACGCCTGGAGCCGCAGCAGCCAGTCCCACCGCAGGCATGCTCCAGCTTTAACAAAAACCCCACTTTCTTACACAGAGAGAAAACCCGCTGGCAGTGCCAGCACGGGCCATACCTGCCAAATCCCGTGTGTACTGCTCCCGCGAGCGATCCATCTGGCACTTGTGGCTGGCCAGGACCTTCTTGACCAGATCCAGCATACCGAAGTTCTGGACTACGTTGTTGAGTAAAACAGCATCTTAAAAACAAGACACGGATCTTTTGAGGAAAGCAAAATTCCCCTACGCAAAGTATTTCTGGCTTGGTAAGAAGCCACACGACAGCAAACACATTCAGCTGTGTTTCTGCGGGAGGGTAACGCAGGAGGCTGGGGAAGAGGAGAAGACAGGAGACGTCATGAGAAAGTGCAAGAGGTCACTGGTGTATAAACAGCCTTCTCCTGCTCAGCAGGGGTGATAAGAAATCAGCTGGCACGGTAGCTGGTTGCCACATCATTATCTGATGGCCTAAATTCCACCCCAGTTCCTGAGCCAAGCATTTGTCCAGCCCCAGGCACAGGGAATTGGAGAACTGAGGCCACCCAACGCGTCCCTGAGCACAGCCGAGAGCCCACCTGGGGAGCAGCCAGAAATGGGGTTTACTAATCATGAACTATGTCCCTACAGTGCCATCCAGATACCCCTAAGGAGGAAAAACTCCCCGAGCCCCTCTCCCGCGAGCACCCGTGCCCAGGCCCTCACCACCCAGCTGCAGCGGGGGATCCTGCGCTCGCTGCTGCAAGCCCTTCATGGTCTCCACGAGCTCCTGGTGGAACTCGTGGATCACTTCTTCCAGGAGACCCGTGTCCTTCAGGCCTTGCCAGAAAGCAAAGGTGTCATCTGGAGAAAGAGAAAGCGAGGGACAACCTTAAAATCCTCGGAGAGGGTTTCAGTGGTGATCTGCTCTGGGTTCCCCGTCCAGCCCCCCGAGGGTGAGGTCCTGCCAGGCTGCAGGCACAGGGTGCTGGGGCAAAGCCCAGCCGGAGCGCGCACCCGCAGGAGGGCAGCTGGGCGAGGACTGCTTTCCCCATCCTCCATCACGCACAAGCAGGACACTGAAGCCACAGAAAAGCCCATTGCCCAGAGCACACCAGAGGAGCAAGAATCATTTTATGACCCTCCTGATATTATTTTTTCCCCCCTACAGCCACATCAACCACCTGGACGACACTTTGACACCTTGGGGCTTAGAAACAGTTTCACCCCGAGCCGACGCTGCAGTCAGACCGCACGCAGGCAGGACACACCGCAGCGCTGTGCTCCGGTGAGCGGCAAACGATCGATCCCAGGGGAGCCTCGAGCAGGGCCCCGTTCCTCATCCCTGCCCTTTCCCTCCTTCCCTCCACCCCCTCCATCCTCCCTCTGCCCCGGGAGCGGGGAGCCCGGCAGCCGTCCCTCCGGCGCCGGTGCTCCAGTCGCCGGCATCCTCGCACGTTTCTATGGTGATCGTAGCCGGGGATCCGTTCACTGCAACCAACAGCAAAAAAGAAAAGAGGAAAAAAAAAACCAAACCCAAGTCCTGATTTTTCTCTGTATTTTTCACGGGGCTGTTTCTGAGGGAAGAACCCCCTTGCTGCCTTCCTGTGACTTCTTTTCGTGGCACAGGAGTGCTTTTATTCGCACAGAGCTCTCTAAGCTGAACTCGGCGAGACGCCCTGCGAAGCCGCAGGCGGTTGCTGTGCCAGCAGTACTTATTTTTCCATGCTAGAGTGCAATACCCCGGGGATTATTTCTGCAACCCTTGCACAAGAACACGTGCCCAAGAGCAGCGTTTCCCTCCCGTTCCCCCCTGCGTACACCCTCGTACCGCTTAGGGCAAAAGTCAAACAGATTCAGAGACTGATTTGTTTTTGCAGTCCTTGCTGCTTGCAGGACTGGGATGCCCGGAGGGTCTCCAAAGCCTCGAAGGGGAGAGCATCCCCCCGCCGTACGGGGATGGAGGGGGCCTCCCTCCCTCCTTCCAGCTCTCCCAAGTCTCAGTGGTTTTGTTATCAC